GGTTGTAAGCAAATATTTAGCAAGATTCAAGTGGGACTGGGGGTCTGTACAGGTGGACAGACCAGCCAGCGGGTGGGAGGTAGACTTTCCCGCGTGGGGACTTTGGTGGAGTCCTACTGAGGTCCATGTTGCGACTTTTGGGAGGGAGGACGGTCTCATGACCGCCTGCCTCGGGTTTCTTGCTCTGCTTTCTGTGCCCGCTGGCTCTGCCCATAGTCAGACCTCCCCATGCAGCTCCCACATCTCAGCCAGGTTTCTGGCTTCTGTCTTTCTGGCCCTTTTCTGCAGGGCCCTGCGGGGTGTAGCACTGGCAGGCGCTTTGCCGATACCCGAGGTCGTTAGGAAACGCAATGAGCAGTGCGCTGCTGAGACCAGCTGTCGCTGCGGGGAGTGCAGGCCTGGTGGGGGATGCTCCCGCTGACAGCCTTCAGGGGACAGCATCTGTGCCTCTCCTAACCACCCACCACTGCAGCCTCCCCTGCTCTGCTCTCAGCACCTTGTCATGGAGCCCAAGCTCGGTGCTGCTCCTCTGCTCAGCTGCCAGCCCCTCTCCTGCCTGCAAAGTCTTCTGCTAAGGATCTCCTTCCTGCCCTGCCTCCAGAAGGGACTGTCACCAGGGACACCACCGCTGGCTCATGACCAAGGTACTTGGGGCAAAGACCTACTTGTCCAGTGCTGGCAATTGCAGAGGGTGATGCAGAAAGTGCCTTTAAGCCCTGCACCGAGAAGCAGAGGATGCCATCCAGCAAGGTACTGCGCGCCCAGCAAGGCAGGCAAACCAAGGAGAAGTCCCACTGAGGCCAAGCCCGTGTTTAAATACCAGGCTGCACTGAGGCCAGGGCACCCAGCAGGATGAGCCCCAAGTGCCGGTAAAAGCTCAGGCAGGGTCGGAAGTCAGCATCGCATATGCACAGCTCTGGGAAAGCCGCTTTTCCAGCTGGCCAGAGCCCAGCCTGGCACAAAAGAGCAGCGTGACAACTGGCACTAGAGGAAACATGGGCTATGCTTTTTAACAGCCTAGATGGTCCCAGGTTGTGGCTTTGGCAGCAGATCACACATCCTCCCGCAGCGCTGATAAGCGGAGCCATTTGCGAACAATGTGATCAGGAGGCAGAAATAGCACTCGAGGAGGTCAGAGGAAGCTGCAGGGGAGGCGGGCAGGCTCTTGCTTCACATTGAGGTCTCGCAGCAGCTAAAGAGGACAGAGCTGCGTGTGGGGGGCAGGGGATTGGGGGAAGAGCGCCCTGGCAGCTGCCCGATCTCCCCTTCCCCAGGAGAGCACCCCTACGCTTGCAGGCCCCGAAAGCAGTTGCCTGCCCCCCAGGGCCAGGACTGCTGCTGTGCTCCCAGCCTGTACAGCTCCTTGGGTCCAGCCCCACATGAAACTGCTACACTCAGATACAACAGCCCAAAATCAAGTCCCACTTCGTAAAGGGAGAGAAACTGAGGCACAGCCTGAACCTGCTGGAAACAAAACCTGGGCTCTCCAGTAGCAATCTTGCGTCTTCCCCCAGATCCACCTCCGCTCAGCAGTACCCTAGCAGTTGACGGAGGGCATCCCCAAGGAGACTACATCAGCTTCCCAGCAAGCTATTTCCCCCTTGCTCTCTCCCCGAGAGAGGAAACGGGGCTGGCTGCATAGCTCAGACGTCCCGAGTCTGGCACGGAAGGACGATGCAACTTAAGCAAGCGCAGGCGACCGAGTGCTCTGCTTTGAAAAGCGTGCCCTGCTTCTGAGCATGCACCTCACTCCGCCGTACCAGGGCAGGAGGGCAATGGATTGGTGCCCGCCTTGGCCTGGAAGAAATGACCAGACCTGGGGCATGGCCGTGAGTGCCCAGTCCAGCTCAAACCTACCCAAACACTGCACTTTTTCAAGCCCCCCAGGCTGCTGCGCACACTATTACAGGGCAAGGACACTCAACCCAACATTGGGCTTGCAACCCAACCGCAGCTGCCAGTTGAAGACACAAGTCCTGTCCCCCGCCATCCCTTCCTTTGATACGGCTCAGCTACAATTTTCCACAGTTGCTGAAGTGCATTAGCTAATTAGGGCAATGCCCAACACGCCAACAAGACTGCAGGACATAGGGGACACCTCCAAGCAACTCGTTACTGGGACAGCGCCACAGAACTTGTTCATTTTTGCTTTTGCTTCCTAAACTGGATGGTGAAATAGTACACCGGCCGCAGGATGAAGTGGATTTACTGGAAGCTTAGGAGCTGATCAAGGATTTCAGTGCAATCTCATAGTGAATTTTAGGCTCTTCCTCCAACTTGGTTATAGCAGAGCTTCCACTGGGGCACAGAAACTGCCCACCCCACGCTGACGCACAGAAATTACTTTACCTTGCACATAATGCTGAGACCGTGTGCATGTGTGTACACACTTCTAGAAGACCCACAGTATTTTAAAACACAAACAAACGGAACAACATGCAATATGCCATCATGTGGCAATCCTCTTCCAGCGTGGCTCACATTTTCTCTTTCTGTTTCTCTCTGACTCAGGGTTTCCTGCTGGTTTTAGCTACTACGAGATTACGAGAATGCCAGAGCTTGCTAGCTAAATGATGTATTTGGACAGAGAGTCATTTTCTGGTCAAACTTTTTGAGGTCTGTCCAATGTAAAAATACAAGAGCAAATCTGAGATGTTTTAAAGCAAGCGTTCTCCTACCAAAAAGCAGAGCATTTACTTTGAAGGCCACCCCTACCACTAAGAAAAACCTTAATTGAACTCCCCACCCTCCCAAAGCTTTGCAATCCATCCAATTCTCAGGGAACAGCAATTTTTCATGCTCACTCACACTGATCCCACTAAGGCCATTCACTTCCAAAAGTGCAGTTCATTCCTTTAGGAAATTAGTTCAGTTGTGCTTTGGCTCCAAATAAAGGGTTTGCAGTAATAAGAGATGCCTCGAACCTGACTTAAGTAGAGGTAAATTGGAGTACAAGGCAAGAGGCAGTGGAGAAGGATAAGACAGAGGTTTCTTTGCATTTCTTCTTCGGCCCCCAGTAAGCCTGCCGCACAGCGAAACAGGTCAGGATTGAGATCGACTGATTTCCAAGCTAATGATTTTGAGGCTCTCAAACCCCACCTGCATCCTACAGTCCAGGGGAGAGCTTGAGGGATCCGACATTTTAAGTTCAAGACAAGCACTGCGTCGGTATATATTGCAGCAGCAATTCAACTGCACGCTCCCAGTGCAACAGCCTGCCTCAGACCTGCAGATCCAAACAGGCTGAGCAGCAGCTGGTCACCTCCCACCTAGACCGCCTTGCCTGGAAGAAAGATTAAGGAGCCAGGAGGTAAAGGAAAGGAGAAGCTGGCAGGCTGGGAAGAGAAGCCCTATTGATTGCTCTTTCAGAACTGAAGCAGCTGTGAAGACTCGACAGGGAGAGGAACAAACCTCACGAAACACAGAAGTTCTGCTGTGACCTGTCACCTGGGTCTCCAGAGGCAGCGGGGAGGAAGGCAGGCAGCTCCTCTCTCTAAGGGCCTCGGGGACGCTAGTGTCTCCTCTTGGGGAGCTTCAGAGACTTAGAGACGTGCAACTTCCTGCCAGACCCCCCCTACCCCCCCCCCCCCG